CATTTCCCCACACGCACAGATACCAAACAGCATCTCCCTATGCACACAGGCACTTTCACCAAAAATCTTTCTTTTTACAATACTGAAGGAACAAATGCTTTGAGTCCCAGGGCTGCAGCAGCTATTACACACCCGACAGCAGAGCTCATTCCCATTTGGAAACGCAATGGCCTTTAATCAAAAATAGGCTCCGGAGCTTTCTACAGATGACTACGCACTTTTCAGAAATGCCATTCTGTTAGAACACCGTCACGTCGACATAGCTTTTGCAGGTTTGTATTTACGCTGGAGTATCTAGTATCCTGCATTAGCTGAAATTACAGGTTGGAAACATTTTCAAGGTTAACGCCATTCCTTAACTCGTACTCTGACTCTGATAGCTCATTCCCCCTCACACACACACAGCTAAAGAGGCCAACCAAACAAATAAAAGCTAATCAAAAATAGAAATAGCCTAATTAAGAGATATTTGTTAGTTTTGAACCTTTCAGTTTCTTTGTTAGTTTTGAACCTTTCAGTTTCTTTGTTAGTTTTGAACCTTTCAGTTTGTGTTTCCTAAGCCTTGGCGGTAAATGCTTTCAGTGTTGCCTGCCTGATATTGGTGCAGAAGTCAAGGTGTACTTCTACAGCCTTGCACGGCAGGCAGAGCCACATGCAAGCACAAGCTGCTTAGACGGGGTGATAAGGGAAAAGGCATTAGAACATGCAGTATCAAGAGGGAAAAGGCATTAGAACATGCAGTATCAAGAGGGAAAAGGCATTAGAACATGCAGTATCAAGAGGGAAAAGGCATTAGAACATGCAGTATCAAGAGGGAAAAGGCATTAGAACATGCAGTATCAAGAGGGAAAAGGCATTAGAACATGCAGTATCAAGAGGGAAAAGGCATTAGAACATGCAGTATCAAGAGGGAAAAGGCATTAGAACATGCAGTATCAAGAGGGAAAAGGCATTAGAACATGCAGTATCAAGAGGGAAAAGGCATTAGAACATGCAGTATCAAGAGGGAAAAGGCATTAGAACATGCAGTATCAAGAGGGAAAAGGCATTAGAACATGCAGTATCAAGAGGGAAAAGGCATTAGAACATGCAGTATCAAAAGGTGTGGTTTGAGTGGAAAAAAAAATCTTCACTAGCATTATCAACACTATTTAGAACTAATGAAAGCTAGGAAAGGAATAAACACAGCGAGTGCAGACCACTTCTCATCCTCCCTCATTTCTCATTTCAAGTAAAACTTGCTGACTCAGCAGATTTGACAAGTTTTGTGAAGTTCATCTGTGGACCTTTTTTTTTTTTTTTTTTTTTTAAGAGAGTCAATTTGTATTTAAATACAAAGCAACAATCGATCAGCCGGCCACTCAAACAGAAGTATTTTGAGTAACTACAGTAGCGCTGGTTATGCTTATTTAATATCTGAAGATAGCTTTGATCACTACGATTTGCCATACAGATTGGATTCTGGCCACTCTCCAACAAGAAACAGATGCAACGCTATCTTCATGCCAACATTTAATACATTAAAATATATTGACACAAATAACATGGAGAAATTTTTATCTTTCACAAAGCCAGATTTTTTTTTGGTGACTGGGAAATAGGGAACAGCAAAGGTCTTTGAATCATAACGTCAGAGAGAAAGGAAACATCATAGAAACTCAAGTTGTAGTAATAAAAAACAGTTTGGAGGATTAGCACAGGTCTTAAACGCCAAAACAAACCACTGTTTTTGTTAGCAACATCCTGAGCTTGCCAACCACTTGAATGTTTTTACAACGTACAATCCCTGAAGCCGAGTTTGCTCACACTGAGCTTGTCAGTGTGAAAAATGGTACACATAGCCATCGAGCAGAGAAAATATATCAAGAATGACTGACATTTTCTTATCGGTCTCTTATTCTGGATTCAAACAGAGTTGCAGGAGTTACTCTACTCCACCGTGGTAAAAGTTTGAGTTATGGAAAGTTATTGCTTGGAGTATTCTGTGATACATGAATGGGCAAAACATTTGTGTTAAATAAACAAACGCTCCTTATGTACTATCTCATGGAGGTTTATGTTCTGAACTTACCACAGCAGAATTTCTGATTTAGAGAGGGAATATAAACATGTCAAACACAGGCAGAATTCGCCAAAAAAATATTTTAAAATGCATATTTTCCTGTCTTTCTATAGATACATACATATTCTTCTTGCTTGACCGATCCAGCAACGTTTGCATTTGTTCAGATACATAAACCTATTTCACAGCACTTCAGAAGAGGGGAAAAAAAATCCTGAATTATAGAATCATAGAATCATCGAATCGTTTAGGTTGGAAAAGCCCTTTAAGATCATCCAGTCCAACCATTAACCTACACTACCAAGCCCACACTAAACCAGTCAAGGGCAGACCAGACTGAACCATGGCCCCAGGTGCCACCTCTGCCCGTTTTTTGAACACTTCCAGGGATGGGGACTCCCCCACCTCTCTGGGCAGCCTGGTCCAATGCTTGACCACCCTTTCCGTCAAGAAATTTTTCCTAATTTCCAACCTAAACCTCCCCTGGCGCAGCTTGAGCCCATTTCCTCTCGTCCTAAATGAGAGAGGGAAATAAAGGTCGTCCTGAATCTAAGGTTCCCAACCCTGGTTCCCCAGTGCGATAGCCACAGCTGCCCTTTGTGTCCCCGTGACACCCCGACCGGACAGCAGCGATGGTCAGAAGGAACTCACCAGCAAACGAGCAGAGCCACGCTGACCCCCTGCCCAGCTACCGCCGCACCACAAAACAAGCCCGCCTGCCCTCTGCTCAAAGGGAGCACAAGCACGAGCTCCAGATTTCCATGCAAGCTGTGGGAATTTAATTCAACAATCTCCAGTTCCACTGAAAACTATCGTACAAGTCTGAGAGTCTCCCCTTTGAGACAAACTCAGATTTGGTACAAAGAGAGGCAGCTACAGAGCTCTTGCCTGCGCCAGCCATGAACTTGACCTTTTGATCTCACATGACCCTGGCCATTCCCAGCGGCAAGTCCAACGCTTAAACAAGTGCTTTCCGCATCAAAAACACCCTCTATTTCAAAACACTGGGTTTGACTATACTACATGGAGTTCAACAGAAATTAATGTCATCTCATCCGTATAAAAGTTACCGTGCAATTTCTTCAAGAAAGTAGTTTTTTATTACTTTTGACAAATGCTGCCTGTACTTCTAGTGCAAACAACCTCTGCAGCCAGAGGAATCGAACATGACAGCGTATGTGGAAAAATGGGGGAAGGGAAGGCAGCAAGAGCAGAATAATGAATAGTTAAGTATTACAGACTGTAGAACAGTTTACAGGGCCAGCTGGACATACCAAGCCTCAAACTTCTGAAAGCGAGGGATACATTCTGGTTTTTCACAATATCCGCATCATAACAACAGTAATATCATTTACCATGAAGTGCCATCTCATGCCAACTCGTTTCTTGCATCCCATTGGACTATCGTTATTAAGAACTACTTATTTTATTAAAAGCTATTATGTAATGAACAAGTATAAATAAATACCAACAATCAAGCATTTCATCTACTGCAACATACTTCTAGCTACAGTGAAACTAGTAGTTGTAAAACATGCCTGTAAATGTAGTGTTAATTGTTATGCAATGCTGGATCAATTGTTCTGTCTGGCTGATCACAATACAGAACCATAAAATAATTAAAAAATTTTAAAGAGTACAGTGACCGTACTAAAGAGCTACGATTCTAAAAATACCCGATTTACAGTGAAATAATCATAAATATATAGAGAAAAACAGAAATAAAGTGTCCAGCTGCAATACAAAAAAAATGCAATCGTAAACAAAAAACCAACCACCACCACCAACAAAAAAAATCACCAAAACCAAACAAAAACACCCATTTAACTCTTTTACCACCCAATTTTTTATTATGAAATAAGACAAAAGACACACTGGGAAAGGTGGGGAGAGATGGAAATTGCTTTGCTTTATATATATGAAAACATTTGAATACCAATCAAGGTACAACATCCTTTAACAAAGTGTTCTTCCCTCGCTACCTACAAAAAGCTCCCTTCAGCAGCTCCACTACTGCAGACTAGAAATGCCAAACTGTACCCAAATTAATGCCAAACTGTGCCCAAATTAATGCCGAAAGACGCCACAACCGCAGCCGCTGCCGGTAACACGCGCAGAGCGCTCCTCTCGCCCCCTGACTAGAAGACACACTGGTTTAGAGCAGTGATCTCAAAACTACTGCTTTGACCACAGCTCCTCAAAGGTTTGGTTTTTTTTTCATGACAGGAAATTTTATTTTATTATCAGTGTAATCTATGAACTAAATTTTAATGGTTAATAAAGCAATCCATCAATAATTTCAGAGCCGAAAAGTCTAGGAGTAAAAATGCTGATAAGCAACATAAAAATCTCTTCTCGTTCCTTTCATTTCCTATTGCTCACAGTTCAGGGACCAAGTCACAGTATTTCCATGTCACTTGATTGTTTTAGCGATGCAAACGGCTGCACTTCTGAGTAAATACAGAAGCTCCCCTCCCAGGGCACAAAATTGTTCCTTGAAATTCTGCAGTCAGTTTAGTGCTCTTCCAAACTACTTATAAAAACTTTAAAATTGACAACACTATAAAT